ACCTTAACCAACAGCGGCCCTAATCTCGGGACATGCATATAGGCATGTATTTATGAAGGCAATGTGCTGGGCACACCGTGTCAATTTAGTAAAAGAACAGACAGACATAGGTTTCCCATTAGGGCCTATGACTTTCCAGCTATGAATTTTTGACTAGGTTTACAATACCAGATATGAATTCCCCCACGTGCAGTGGACCTCAAGTTCAATCAGGAAGTAGCGAGTGGTTACCCCTATACCAAGTTTGCCACTATTTGACCAATCTTGCCTGGCAGGTCACCAGTGCCACATGCGGGGCTCGCTCACAACTAAGGAAGACTGTGGATGATAATTCTCTTCCGGCAGCCTGCACAGCACTGTTTGGTACTAGCAAGGGAGAAGTTTTATTCCTCTATGTCCTCTATGAAGAGTGCATGCTGTCTTCAGCAACAGAGTTTTTAGAGACCAGTCAACAGAAGCAGCAATGACTGATTTAGGACCCTCGGATGAGCTCAGGGAGTTAGGGATGTTGCCCAAGTTTCCGTCTTGTGCCATCAGGTAGAGGTTGCTGAGGAGGGATTACTGTAGAAGTAGGGGAGCGGGAAGAAGGAAAGGCTATCCATGGGAAGGAAGCACAGAGGGTGGGCAAGGATGGAGAGCAAAGCTGAAGCCACCAGGAAGCTCTGTGCCGCTTGAAGGTACACGGACAATCCTTAGATCATTGGCTTAGGGCTCAGAAGGGTCTAGGTGAAAATGAAGTGCGAGCACTGTTAGCATGGAGGTGGGAACTGAAACCCTGAGTGTAGATTAGCTGGTGGGGGCGGGCTCAGTTTCAAAGCCCTAGGGCCACATAAAATGCAGAGGAAGAGGAACACAAACATAGAGCAGTTGGAGTGGTGGGAGGAAACTGGAGGGCGGAGGGTCCAGTTAAGGTGAGTTTTCTAGGAAGTGGCCATTGAGGTCCCCGAGACCTCAGTAAAGTCTCTTTTAGAGAAGTCAGAGAAGACAGCCCACCCCTACACCCCATACTTTGAACATCAGTTCTTTTTTTTTAATAATGTGATTCTATTCAAGTCAGTATGAATACAGAGGACGAGATGTGAAACAGAGAAAGGTCGAAGTGTGGCGTGTAGTGTAAATAATTGACAAAGTCCTGATATTGGAGCCTCAGTACATTCAGAGGAATCAATCCAGCTACAGGAGGTACCTAGAATAGGGCATCACATGGGGGCCAAGGACTCCAGGGACCTCTAAATGAGCTTCAGAAGGTGTCCCCTGCTCCCCCGACTCCCACCTTAAGCGTATTGCCTGGATTTACAAATCAGCAACCTTTTCAGCATGTGGCATGGGGAGACAGCCATAGCTTTCACAGGGGCTTCTTAGAAGGCTCTACTTCCAAGGTTGAGACCCTTCCGAGAACAACAAAGGTACAATGGTGGGACACAGTCTCTTCAATCTTTTTCTCAACTTTTTCCAACCTCTCCTTTTCAAGATGAGACCCCAGTCAGTCCCCAGACACTACACCACAGGAATCTATGGCCAGGGATAAGTTAGAGTCACTGCCAAGGGCCATCTGCCAGAGCAGGTAACTGTGGGCAGTGGGTAGTGGGGGGGGGGGGAGTGGACCCGAGAAGCACACATTCCAGATGAAATGAATCTAGAGGAAGTGTGTAGAAAAACACTTCAAAGTTGCTTATAATTTTCCGATTGACACGCTTTCAGAGGAGACCATTCAACGGGAAGTGTAGTTTTGTAAGTGTAAAACGGAGACCAGAATGAGAATGCATGCCTCCAGGTGTCCGGGTGTGCTGCCTGGGCTGGTCACGTGACTGGTTATCTCGGCTAGCCAGTAATAAATCAGGTACAGCCCTGCGGTCTTGTTTCTTTGAGGAGAAAGCATCCTTTCGAGACTGACTTGGTAGTTGGACTTGGGAAGGAATGCTGACTTCTTGTGGGAATGAGTCTGTCTTGGAGAAGATGTTAGACTGTAAGCACAATGCAGCTTGCAGCTGGAGGCGGGCCCTATTCCCTCGGGGATTGGCAGTTTGGGGCATGTGGAGAGACAGCACTTAGCAGAGCATGGCTGATCATGCCTGTTACTCTTGGGGAGGCTGAGGCAGGAGGATTGCTACAAGTATGAAGCAAGATTGAGGTAGAGGGGCCTGAAGAGATGGCTCAGAGGTTAAGAGCACTGGCTGCTCTTCCAGAGGTCCTGAGTTCAGTTCCCAGCAACCACATGGTGGCTCACAACCATCTATAATCTGGCGCTGTCTTCTGGCCTGCAGGTATGCACGCAGGCAGGATACTGTATGCATAATAAATAAATCTTAAAAAAAAAAAAAAGATTGAGGTAGAGTAAGAACTTATCTCAACAAACAAACACCTTCCCCCCACCCCACCCCACCCCCCCCAAAAAAAAAGAAAAGAAAAGAGGAAAAAAGCAACAAGAGCTGCCACTTGGCTTGGGTTGAAATCTGGTCCCCTCACTGTGAGCATCTTCGTGAAGGACCCAGAACAGCGGTACCCAGGGAAGGCTTGAGGCACAGGGCTCAAAGTCTCATCAGCAGGTTCTCCCTAACCCAGTCATCTTAGAACTGATGGGCTGTTCCCAAGTCCTTCAGCCAGCCCCTTGTGAGTGGTAAGGCTCTGTTGCTCTTTTCTTCGGAGTGTGTGTGTGTGTGTGTGTGTGTGTGTGTGTGTGTGTGTATAAACCGAGGAGTTTCAGTTTGGAGGCAGAGAAAGGGGCTAAGAGCGTGTCTGTGGGTGCAAACCCCCCAAAGTTTGGGGAGCGTATAGACCTGTGGCAGATCCTACAGAAGAGCACAGGCCTGGCGTGCCTCATTGGCCCAGAACAGGCCCAGTCCTCTACACTTTTGCTCTTTCCTCGCAGGCTGGGTGAAGGGCTCCCGTGGCAAAGCCGGCAGGCTCGCAGGCAGACATGAAGGGCGGGCCCTGCAGACCACGTTAAATGGATGCCATCCTACCTTCAACCCGACCTTGCCTGTGGGATCTCCTATACCCCTGGCCGCAGCCTCGGTGCTGACAGCTCTCAAATCTCTCCCAGCCAGGAGACAAGCGTGTCTCTGCCTTCCAACAACCCCTGTGTTGTAACCCCTCAGACATAGCACCTTTTCCAAATGTCCCCATCTTGGAGGCCCAGGAGCTGGACAGCGGCTGAAGTGTTTTGGCACAAACATGAGGAGTGAGGACCTGAATTTGATCATCAGCACCCACATTAAAGCCCAGTGCTGAGGCTCAGCAAGATGGCTCCATGGGTAAAGGACCTGCCACCAAGCCTAATGTCTTCATTTGATCCCCACGACCCGACATGACAAGGAGCTGACTCCCATAAGTTGTTCCCTGGCCTCTAAATGTGTGCATGTTCACCCCCCCCCACACACACACAACTAAGATAAACAAAATGCAATTACATTTAAAAAAATTATATACCTGTAATTCCAGAGCTGGGGAGGTAGGAACAGGAGGGCCCCTGGGTTTTCTGGCCAGCCAACTTAGCCAAATTGGCCAGCTTGGGATTCAAAGAGAGACTACGTCTCAAAAGTTAAGGCAGAAAGCAACTGAAGAAGGAAGACACAGGATGCTGACCTCTGGCTACCACACATACATGCATGCCCATCCACACAAAAATAAAAAAAGTGTCCTGTCATGTTTTAAAGGCAAAAAACCACACTGGCCTCTTCAATACAAATGCCTAGGACCAGGGAAACAGTTTTCCTTCCTTCTCCCTTTCTCTTTCTCTTTCAGACAGGGTCTCATATGTAGCTCATGACGGACTGGAACTTGCTGTGTAGCTGAGGATGACCTTGAACTTATTCTCCTGCCTCCATACCTCAAGGGCTGGATTACAAGCACGCACCATCACAGCTGGTTTAAAACACTGTTTCCAAAGCCACACAGAAAAGCTCAGATGGTTGCCTTGACATTTTGGAGATGACCCGAGGACAGTGTGAAAGGCCAGGGCAATGCTGACTTTCCCTCCAGGAGAAAATGCGTCCTTCCTAGCTTCCAGTTGTTTCTCATACCATTAGCCACATTGAACTTAAATGATTACGTACGCCATTGCTTCTTTATTATCTGCCTTTCCTGGGGAGAGCTGAAGGACAGAGATTATGTTCCTTTCACTTCTCTATCTTTTTTTCCCTCTTTTGAGACAGACTGTCATGTAGCCCAGGCTAGCCTGGAACTCAATATGTAGCTGAGGATGCCCTTGAATATTTGATCCTTCTGCTTCTGCCTCTTGAGTGCTGGTATTATAGGCCTGTGTGCCATATATCGTTTATGTGGTGCTGGAAACCAAACCAAGGGCTTCGAGCACACGAGGCAAGCACCCTACCAACTGAGCATGTGCACATCTCCAGCCAGCCTCACTTCTGTGTCTTTAGTGTCTACATAGTAGCTGACGTTTCATTGTTTATTGGGCGAATACATGAATATGCTTGTTCATCACCCAAAATTCACGAGCTGCTGAGACCCTCAGCGCCTTCCTGTCTTCCTAGACCCACAAAGCTCTGTGCTTCCTTCCCTCAAGCACCCTGGTGCCCCCTCCCATCCTTAGCCCTTCAGATGTTCTCTTCCCCTGGGCTGCTTCAAGGGCTGACTACCTGTCAAAGGAAGCAGCGTGTGCACCTGTCAGGGAGCCTTCAAGACAGGTCCTTGCCTGGTAAGACGCCGCCGACATTGATGGAGTGGGGCAAAGCATGGTTTTCCTTGTCTTTACCCACTAAGCAGGGGCCTCAAAGGTCACAGGGCAGCCTTTCTCCCCAGAAGGCTATATAGTTTATTTTTTCCACAGGTACCCAGGCCCCAAGTGCTGAAGACTGTGCATCTTGGTCACCCATCTGTGCCTCCCATCTCAGCACCAGCCAAGGAGAGAGCAGTAGGTGATCCAGGTCAACACTGTGATTGCCGAGTGTGAACTGTGGAAGCGGAGAGGTGGGCACATCTTCATCCAGCCTCTTCTACCCATCCCCCGTGTCCAGGAAAAAAATCTGACAAACCAGCAAAGTAAATAAATAATTTAGAAATAATAAATAGGGCTTCAGCTTTAGCACAGGCTCTTCCAGCAACGTGAGTACAATGTATCTTCTCAAGATTCATTCATTCCCTAGGGCCTGGGGCCATTTCTGGATGCTCCCAGAGGAGTTCTCCTTAGCTGAGGTTTCTGGTGTCTATAGAGCTGGGATCCATGAGCGCCTTGGAGCTGTTTGTTGGTCAGTGGTTAGGTCATCTCTCCCGGCTTGATGCCTGCCACTCACCGGCCTGGCGCCTGAGCTCTGCAGCTTCCCTTTCCGGCTGAGGTTCCTGGCTAATGAGGCCGGGTGAGGTTGTTCCAGGCAGGGCAACACATGGGTAAAGGTCCAGTGTGCAAAGGCTTGGAGATCATCCTCAGCCCAGACAGCCGCAGGCAGTGGCGGAGAGGTGGTCCACGGTCCTCCAGGTGCTGTTCACGTCCATGAAGGAGACGGCCTCATAGCGAGTGGGTCGGCAGCAGGGCTGACTGATCGGCCGGGAGCCGGGGGGCGACCGCAGGGCCCCGGCGCCCAGCAGGCTGGCCAGGCTGAGGTCGTGCGGGGAGCGTGCTCGGCGGCACGAGCCGCTGCAGAAGCGGAAACGAACCAGCTCGTCGGAGCTGTGGCCCAGGCCGAGCGCGCTCACCCGCACCAGCTGCGAGCGCAAGCGACAGCCGTGCGCATCCGAGCCCCGCGCGCGGCTGCTTCGGGTCCCCGCACGCGCGGCGCGTACCCCGCGGAGCGCAGCGGGAGGAGACTGGAGCGCGGGCCCTGGCGGTGGGGGTGCGGGCTGGGGAGACTGTGGCGGTGGTGGCAGGGCTCTTTCGCTGCACAAATGCGTAGTGCCGCCCCCTGGAAGGAGAACTGGTCACTTTCGGGGGTGGGGTGGGGGAAGGTCTAGGGCTAGCCTCGCCCCTGCTCCGCCCTGTCGCGCTCTCACCTACCAGGCAGGTGGCCGGTTGGGGGCGCCAGGACCGGCGAGGGGCCATCACGAGTGGAGGGGTTGCGGGACATGGGGTTCAGGGAGGCTTCTGTGACGCTGCTCAACAGGGCAAGAGCAGCTAGGGTTGGCCACAAAGCTGGCTGCACAGAGAAAAGAGAAGGCTCAGGGAGGAATAGGGCACTCTAGGGGACTGTCTTGTCTGTAGCCCGGATCAGAGACCGCTCCAATCGGCTTCCTAGCTGGGTGGCTGAGTGTAAGGAAGGGCACTGATCATCCAGAGAAATCCTATTCCTTTCCACCTATGACTGGCTCCTCCCTCTTTTATTATTATTATTATTATTATTAATTATTATTATTATTATTATTATTATTATTATTTGAGACAGGGTTTCTCTTTGTAGCTTTGGGGAAATCTCGCTCTGTAGAACAGGCTGGCCTCGAACTCACGGAGATACACCTGGCCTTGCCTCCTGAGTGCTGGGATTTAAGGCATGAGCCACCACTGCCCGGCGCACCTCCCTCTTGAGAGTTCCCCTTTCATATCTGACCCCTGCCTAGGCTGTGTTCCACGCTCTTTTTCCCAATTAAAGTCAGTTGGGAAATGCAAGGGCGTGACTCACCTGCCACCTAGGCCGGAGGCAGTGGGGCAATGCAGTAGGGTCTCCAAGTCCGGGTTCCATCTCTGTCAACACTAGGAGCTCCCATCAGCCTTCGTGGGCCTGCTTTTCCCCACCCTCTTTTTCAGGCAGCTGCAAGTTGAAAGCGGGCTTAGTTATCTTTGGGGTATTCGTTCTTCCACTTCAGTTTCTCAAAGCTTGGCTGAGCTCAGAGATTGTCTGAGGTCACAGGGGGAGACTCACACAGCTGTGGTCCTGTCTTCTAGGACCCTTCTGTTCTGTACTTCAGGGCTGAAGGTACCAGAGCGGCTGGAGGAAGAAGTAACTGGACACCCTTAGTTCCATACTGAGCATTTGCTCCAAACCCCAGGGGAGGAAGCAGAGCCCTGGAGAATTAGAGTGCCAGTTGGTCACTCGGAGTTGTCTGGTGACTGGGAGCCTAGGCCTCCTGCAATCTCTGTTCTGGGCCCAGAGTCACTGGAGTTCTCTCTTAGGGACACAGATGACCCCAAGGGCCGGCCTATTATCTGGGGGAGTGATGTGACTTCTGCAAACACAATGCCTGGACCATGGCTTCCCGTGGCCACCAGGGGGCAGAGTTTGCCAAGCCTGCGGATTTAAGGGGAGGGGGTGCTTTTCCACATCCTCTGCACGTTCAGTTCTGAGCCGTTCCCAGGAGGACCAGCCAGTCCTCCACATCAGCCTGGTCTCAGAGGGCTGAACCACTCTGAGAGCTGGCCATCTGGGCCATCAGCCTTCTGTGGCTCTGGCACTCTAGCCTTGCTCCTCCAAGTTTCCCCCGTGAACCATCATCATCCTTCCCGACCCCAGCCGGCTTTACTGAACACCACCACGTCTTTGTGAGCCACCCCTCTGGGGCCCTCAGAACCTTGAAGAGTCCTCACTAGCTAGACTCCTCTTGGGTCCCAGATGTTATCCTCCATCCTTCTGCTAGCACACAGAATACATGGGGACATCGACAACGACACATACCTTCCAGGCCTTTACCCAGGAAGTGGTCCTCCAGGGCTAGCTGTGTACCTGTTGGCTAACTAGATTCAGATCCCCAGAGACCAGGCTAGTGACTATTCTCCCCGATGGAGGGCAAGTCAGACAAGGCAGCCTTAGGGGTATCTGCGCTAGGGGGAGCCCAGGAGCAAGTCCCTCGAGGGCAGCTCAGACCAGTCTACTTCCTTGCCATCTGGGATGTTTGGCCCTCCAGCCCTTGCCACCCCTATCCACCGGCTCTGTACTCACCAACGGGGTCCTGCACCGAGTCCTTCTAGGCACCTTTCCTGGGACCAGTGCTGGGCTTTCCCTCGACGCTCAAATGGATCATGCCCAGAGTTGTGCACCTGGCAGCGTCTCTTTTAGCCAAAAGTGGGGCCTTGGCTGCCGGTCTGTGCCCTGTGGCGGCAGCGGGAGCCTCAAATTACAGCTAGCCAGGAGAGCTAACACAGTCCAACACACTAGCGACAAAAGGGACTGGAGGGGCAGAGAGCTGTGCTGAGGGCCCAGAAGAGAAGCTGAGAGAAAAGGGGGAGGAAGAAGATCTTTCTGGCTCTTCTCCTGCCCTTAGGAGCGTCCGTCAGGGGATGGGCAAGAAGGCTGGCTTACCTCGGGTGCAGGGCTCCGAGCCCCAGTCGCAACGAAGGCTGGGGCCCGAGGGACTTGTTGCTGGCAGAGCCCGCGGGCCGCATCTGGGGGCCGAGCCCAACTCCATCCCTCAGCAGCCTCCTGCCCGCCGCCGTCCGGTGTCAAATTCCAGGCCCGGCGTCACCAGATCCCGGGGTGGGGCCCAGAGCGCCCCCGCCCCGCCCCACCTTTCAGGGCTCACCTGGCCGCTCCACCCTTCAGATCCGGTCCCCACTGGCTCGGCTAGGTCCCCTTAGGTGGGGGCTAGACATTGGGAGAAGACCCCAGGAGGCAGAGTAGAGATTCGCGGGCGGCAGCGAGGCGCTGAAACTGGGAATTCGAAGTTGGTAGACACGCAAAAGTAGGGAACTGGGAGGCCTGGCCGAGGGCGGAGAGAGCGAGGGAGGGCGGCGAAGGAGGGGCAGCCTGGAGGAGAGTTCCAGCTTGGGTCGTGCAGATATCGGGGTGCTGGCTAGCTACCCTGCAGCGCCAACTGGTGGCTCCGGGACCCCCCAGAAGGCTCAGCTGCCTCGAAGCCGCAGGGCTCTGCATTGGGCTCCCAAGGTCCAAGGATAGTCTGTTTCACTGCTCAGTTTCAGGGTCTCGGAGCTCAAAGGAACTCATGCACACTGTCTCAAGGAAGGCAATGATAGTGTGTGTGTGTGGGGGGGGGGAGCAGGGGACAGAAACAGAGGGTCACAGAGTTGAACTGGGTTTTGAGGTGCGATAAGGTAATTTGGCAGGTGTCTGGGGGGTGGTTGATGGCTATGATTGGAAAGGTCTAATTGGTCTGCAGCTCATCAGCAAAGATGCTGGGGACCACTGACCTGCTCTGAGTGTGGTCACACACGCATTTCATTGAAGGACTGCACCGAGGAGAGTGTGGTTTCGAGACAGGCAAGACAGAAAAGGGGGTGCAGGCTGCTGGGGACAAAAAGATAAATCCTGAGCAGGGTTGTGGGGACCCTAGGGGCTGCCGGGACCCAATCTCCATCACCTCCTTTTGCCTGCTTGATTGGACAAGGTGAGGTGGTAAAGCGGACAAAGGCGTGCCACAGGATGGATTCTAGGAGCTGACACTCCCTGGGGGATGTCCAGGTGTGTGTGTGTGTGGGGGGGGCGAATGCATGAATTCAGCGTTGGGCATGTTGAATTAAAAAGAAGGGTCTGTGGACCCTCCTGCTGGAATCGCCCTGGAGGCGGCTGAATCTGTAGCCAGGAGCAAAGTGAAGGCGGCTGGGCTAGTGATGGCAATTGGGTATTTGCTGACCAATACACATGTAACTAGATGCTGGGAGTGAGAAAGAATACCCCGGGGATGTGTATGGTCTAGATGCACCCTGGCTATGTATCAGCACCTCTGTGGACCTTTAAGAACTACCCACATCCGGGCCCCATCCCAGATCTGAATCAGAATGCTGGTGCGGGCAGGTGCAAATGTCCATGTTTCCTTTACCTGTGATTCTGGTACACAGCCAGGATCCATAGCCACGGGGTTTTGAGAGGGCAGTTTTGTGCAGTGCTTGAGACTGAAGTCTGACTGCAGACACAGCGCTGCTGCTGCTGCCGCCTGTGAGGACTGTCCCCAGGCTCCGCAGGACTGCATGGGATGGGAGGATGTGCGCAGAACAGCGTGCTCGCTTTTCTCATGTAACTGGCTGCTGAACTGAAGCAGTCTTTTCAGCCAGGGATACTACTGACAGGCATGTAGTTTAGGCTACATGTGGGAGCAGTGTGGGCCTTGGGATGGCCAGGTCTCTGTAGTTAGGCCTACAGGTGGGAAGGCCAGGGCATGTCTCGGCCCTGGGATTGGGCTGTCCCACTTACAGCCATGGTAGCCGGTGTCTGGCAGGGATCTACCTCCATGATTGCAGGTCAGGGTACCACTGAACAGTCTCAGACCTGCCTGGGGTTCCTTTAAGGGAGGTCAGAATCCAGAGCGCTAAGGGGGTAAAATAGGGTATGGATGTCCTTTCTAAAGTTCCCAGAGGTGCCTAGGGCTGGGCTGGGGGCTTTCCTGTTTTCTGCTGAGAAGGGTAGAGTGCTAATGGGGAGTGGGCCATCTCCACTTCAAAGTGGAGCCATCATGGGGGTGACAGGAATGGAGCTATGTGGGTTTCTCTGTGCCCCGGGGGCCTCTTCTGGTCTTATTTGTTTTGTATGTTTGCGTGTTTGAGTGTACGCATACCACAGGAACCTTGGAGGTCAGAAGAAGGCGTCAGATGCCCTGGAACTGGAGTTACAGGTGATTGTGGGTGCTGGGAACTGAACCCAGGTCCTCTGCAAGGGCGGTAAGCACTCTTAACCCCTGAGCGGGATGCCTCAAAGGTCCTGCACTTGAACAGAAAGTGAAAGGGCCCCAGGAGTCTGTGGGCTGGAGAGAAGACCCTTGAGTTCAGTGCAGGTGTTAAGGCTCCATGTTTCTGTTTCTTCCAGAAAAGTTAAGAGAAAACAGGAGACCAGAGTCAGGGGATTGCTTTATTGCTTCCATGAGGGCTGCCTGGGACGGCTGTCGCAGCCTGGGTAAGGTCCTTGATCCTCACTTCCCTCTGGTCCTGGGTAAGACCCATGGAGCTGGCAATCTCAGCAAGAAACCCAGACCATCTGACAGCTGGTCAGTCCAGGAAGGAGCATTGCTCCCACAGACCGGGACAGCTAGGAGAGGAGCCATTCCCCTCAGGCTGGGCCTTGCCTCCTGAGTTCTCTCTGCTCTTGTCCAAGAGCAGTCCTGTTGGCTTGAAAGGGATGGCTCTGGGGTTCCCCTGTGGGGACACTGGGGGCTGGTGGGAGGGAGCACTCCATCTTCTCCCCAAGGAAGGCCAAAGCGTGTCATGAGCTGGAGATGGCTGACATGAGATACTGCCCGCCTCCCTGTGGCCCTGAAGCATGGTCTGACACTTCCAGCCTTCAGGGAGCTCACTGGTACCACGGCCTGATGGGCCCTCTAGTGGACCTCTTTCTGCACAGCAAGGGGACCAAATGTGACATCTTATTTAAAAATAAATTATCCCTCCCCTCCCACACCCCAGTTCACAAAATGCTAATACACCAAACACTGCTTAGAGAATGATTCTGGCGGCATTCTCGCTAGCAAATGTCCCACCTCCTGCATGCTGGGCCCTGCTGGCCACAGCCAGTGGCCTCCTGGCCCTCTGGCTTCATCGACCCAGGCTGCCAGGCAGAGTGCTGGTCTCTGAAGCTGGCCCGGAGCAGGCACAGCTCTGGTTGCCTTGCCAAGGCCTCGCTGGCCCTCGGTCCCTTGGCACTGTCCTTCTCTGGGTCGGAAGACTCCTGTGCACGTGGCTGCTGCTTGTTCCTGGCATGAGCCTCGACGGCCCGGTCTTGGACCCACTCAGATGCCACTGCTTAGGTCAGTGATGACACGGGCCTTCACCAGCTTCCGTAGAAACTCTTTTTCTCGCTGGATGTTGTGTGTCCAGGACTAGAAGGGGAGAGACGGGGACGTTACGAAGTGGGCAATCTATGAAGAGGGCTGCTGGGCCGCAGCCTGCCTTAAAACTGGGCCGCCGCCCTCTTCCAGTCATGGCCCTCGGAAACGCTGTGACTGGGAACGTCCAGGCACACATTTGTCCGGTGTCTCCCTACAAGACCACAATAACCTGGTAATAAATGTTACAACTCTTCCCTCAACAAGCGAGCCTGGCACCCCATCATCACGCCAGAGGAACTCTGCCCCTTGCTTCTTCCAAGTCTTGAGTAATCTCAGCTTCCCCGTCCTCAGTGCTCAGAATCTCCTTCCTTCAGACGGCAGCCCACAGCTCCTTGGCAGCAGCACTCAGGTCCTAGACACCCCGAGGGCAGGGAGGTGAGTCACCGGACCGCACAGCAAGGGGGCATGGGCTGCTTCTCTGATGCAATCCATTCTCCAGGCCTCAGGCAGCTCACGAAAGCCTCGTTCCCGTGCTCTTTTAAAGTGTTATCTTTGTCTAAACCAAACATTAAAATTTTATTTATTTATGATGGGTGGCAGCGGCACACATCTTTAAGCACTTGGGAGGCAGAGGCAGGCGGACCTTTGAGTTTGAGACCAGCCTGGTCTACAGAGCAAGTTCTAGGACAGCCAGGGCTATACAGAGAAACCTTGTCTTGGAAAAAACAAAAGTTTGTTTTCAATGTATTACTACTCTGTGTGTGTATGTATATATGACGTGTGCATCTCTGAGGGTGGGCCTGAGCACACTGAAGTGTGGAAGTGGAAATCAGATGATGACTCTTGGCAGTGGGTCTCCTTCTGTGGGTTCCAGGGATTGGATTCAGGTCACCAGGTTTGTACGGCTAGTGCCTTTACCCACTGAGCCATCCTACCTGGCCTGCGGTTTCGAGACTGAATCTCACTTAGCAGCTTGGGCTGGCCTGAAATGAATGTACGTACGTATGTACGTATGTACGTATGTATGTATGTATGTAGCCCAGGCTGGTCTCCAACTCATGATCTTTGTACCCCAGCTTCCCACATGCTGGATTACAGGTGTGAACCACTATACCCATCTGCTTCATTATTGGAAGGAGTATCTCACTATGCAGCTCACGCTGGCTTTGAACCCCTTATCTTTCTGACTCCATCTCCCAAGACCATTCTACCAGGCTGGCACCCAATGAATGGCTAAGAGCACTTCCCCACCATACTTGATTTCTCTCTGTCTTAAATAAACAAACAAAGAGTGCTATAGACTTAAAATCGCATCCTTAGTAAGTCAGAGAAGAAGCCACCATCCCGGGCTTATGGGATTAGATTCCTTCTGATTTCTCAGAAGTCTCCCCAGGAAGCTTCAATGACTAAAGCCTCTCAGACAAGGAAAAGGCCTGACTGAACGAAGGGATGAGTGTCCTCAGTCTCATGGCTCATCTCCAGCTGGCCTCTGCTGTGTGTCAGCATGGGCCCCTCCATGTCGGCACTCACAGCACTCTCACTGGGACAAAGGATGAGGGCCTGTCCAGCCCTTGTTTTGACTTCTACAACCCTCTCCAAACTTCCAAATCTCTGTAGTCTAAACCTCAGAGTCATTAGCCAGAGTCCCTGTGTCCCACTGCTCTCGAGCTCCCTTGAAGCCTCTGGGGTGAACCACAAACCCACATCCCCAAGTGGTAATGGTTTCCTCCCTCACAATCCACAGCACAGTGCCTGAGGTGGGCCAGTCTCCCCCAGTCTTCCTGTTTCCACCATCTATCCCCTCAAACTCCTAGAGAAGCACAGGCCTGGTCATTCCACTCTACTGTTGCCTCTGCAAGTCGCTCTCCTTGTCTCAGACCCCTGGGGGACTCATGTCCACTCTTTGAAGATTCAATCATCTTTCCAGAAGTTTCTGTGGATAGAGATGGTTAGACACAGAGTAGGCACTCCATGATATTCAATGAAAATAGATGGAATTTCTTTCTAATCTTGAGG